TTCACTAACTCCCCCCACCTAGATGCCAAACTAGTAAAGAAAGGAACGACCAGCAATTTAATAGAACTCTAATAATGGAAACCATACAAAAAGGTTGGGGGATGCCACCTTCATCCAAAACAGGTTCCAAATACTCAAACCAGAAAGATAGAGCTTCCCAGTTTCCTTCTGTCACCCTCCTTTTTCCTCCGCCGACTGGAAAACAACCAGGCAAGCATTTTTCGCAAAGCCCCATCGAACGACCTTAACATCGAAACCCTCATTTCTTAACGCTTTCTGCACAAAATCTACTTCAAATATTGCTTTGCAAATCCCGGTAAGAGACGATCTCAACAAACCCTATCATCCACCGGAATAAAAACATCCATAGGTTTTCTCCTCTCCTCCATAGGTAAAAAATTGTCCTTCTTGACAACCTCTGGAACCTTGTTCACCCCAACAACCGTATCCTTAAAAGTCCTACCATCATAAAACCTACTCATCAACTCCATCTTCCTAGCCCTTTCAGTATTAGACAAAACTCTTCCCACATTTTCCCTCCTTGATGCCCCACTAGATGAACCATCTACCCTCTCATCTACCTGCCTCCTCAACGGAGAGGCTTTCTGATACTTAGCTATAGACACTGAGATTCTCCTTCCATCAAACAGGACATTGTTCATATTTTCCACTGCATTACACAGATCCTCCTTATAAGCGAAGTGGACAAAAGCAAACGTACTAACCTTATACTTCGGTCTGTTATTAAAAAGAGGAATGAACACCTTAATAACTTTCCCATAAACACTAAAACGGTTCCATAACTCACTACGACGCACTTGCTTACTAAGATTGTCAACAAAAGCTGACCATAAAACTCCTCCATGGACCTCTCTAAACTTGTTAACAGAAAACTTGCTTTTCGAAAACTCATTCTCTCTCTCTCTAACTTTCTGCATTGGTGTTAAATTTAAGTATCAGGAAAATGATGATTACATGAGTATAGATGAAAATTTCTCCGACGTAGATCCCAAGTTGTAGGCTGCAACTTTTCACCTTCTCCGACGCGTTTTGGTGTTTTTTGTTGTCCCCGTCCAAGACCCATAAGATATAGCTCGTGCATGTCCTGGTAAAAGCCCCACTGCACATTTTCTTTTGTGGTTCACAGCGTCCCAGTAGAAGACCCAAGAATTTCTCGTCTTGCGTGTGCTTTTCTGTCTACTCTCAGCTCTTCTCTATAACCTGGTGGTGGCGTCCGTTTGGTCTTTTCTAACGTGGGTGTGTCTCAATGGAGTATGGGTGTTGTGGTGACAAGTTTGATGCAGTAGTAAGAAATGGGAGAATCGGTAATAATAATTGGTGGAATGAAGGCCACCCAAAAAATAGTAATGGGTACAGAATTGGATGTTATATGTTATATGTTATACATTGAAAACTTACCAGAAAAGATCCATTGGAAGAGGTTTGGATCTTTATTTTGTACCCACAGTCAAGTAATTGATGCATTCATTCCAACCAAAAGAAATACAAAGGGGATTCGTTTAAGGTTCATAAGCTTTGCAACATTTGAAGAAGCCAGGAAAGTGATCTCAAAAATGAATGGTTATCACATTGATGATAGCAAAATTGGTCTCTCTTTGGCTAAATACAAGCCTCGATAGTCTTATTGGAGAAAGTCCTCGCCAGTCGTCCGAAAGACTGGGATGGAAGTAGTTACAAGGAATAATCTCTATGCAGTAGAAGGTGGTGTTGACGAAGCTAAACTTCAAGTGTTGGGAAACTATCTAATGAGGTGGTGCAAGAACTTTATCAAAATCGGCAATCTTGCTAGCCAAATGCAAAACAAAGGCCTCGCTGGTTTCTCGTTAATGAGAGCTGCTGGGAATGTAGTTATATTGATTTTTGAAAACTATGTTACGTTGAGAAGTGTGAAGAATGAAAAATCAGATACTCTTGCAGAGTGGTTTTCCAGAGTTGCAGATTGGTCGGAGAGTCTGGTGGTGGAGTGTCGTCGAGTGTGGGTAGTTTGCGAACGAATCCTTTTCACACTTGGAATTAGGGTACTTTCAAGAACATTGTAGCAAGGTGGGGGAAATTATTAGCAATCGACGAAAGCTCTCAATTTCTTTCGTCTTTTGATCGGGCAAAAATTCAAATCCTCACAAAGGCTCAAGTGATAATTGATAAGTCGGTGGGTTTGAAGGTCGATGCTAATTTCTTTAAAATCCTGGTGCATGAAGTTGAGCTTTCCTTCAAACCAAAGCCTTGGGTCCTTGAGGAAGTCGATGATTCTTTAGATCTTGTTTGTTCTCTTGGGGCTTCACCGGACACTTCTCAGTCAGGAATCCTCTGTTTAAATTGCACTGACGAACAACCTAGAAAAGGTTCCACTCCTGAAGAGTGCTAAAGGTGTTGAGAATTCAAGTAACAAATTTGGTGAGGATGATCTAATTAAAAGCGAGTTTGTCGGTGTTGGGTTAGGATTGTCTCCATTCCCTTGTTCAGATTCAGGGTTTCATTCAATGAAGGCTTTAGATCATTCAGACATAAATATCATGGAGCATCAAGTTGATAAATCAGTTGACCCTTCTGATGGAGTCAACCCCCGGGCCTCGGAAGATGTTCTTATGATGGGTCTCTTTCCTTCTAATGGTCTACTCGGTGACCCAATACAATTACAGGAAGATAACTCAGCAGTGCCCCCTTTCCCTGGGAAATTAAGTAGAAATCATGTGGTGAAGAAAGATAAGCAAAAGGAGTTTTGAATAAAGTTTCAAGGACAGATTGATTGTTGGGAAGGAAGTTTGGTTTTATTCCATTGAAGATATCTTTAGGAGCTGAATTCGTTTTGGTGGCATTGGATAGTGATGGTTCATTTAGGGGAGTTCTCTTCAGAGGCGGATGAATTCGTTTTAACGATTGCAGGTGTTGTTTTACTGTTCTGTTATGTCTTTAGGTGTTGGGTGGTTTTTCTTTTGCTAGAGGTGTAACTTAGGAATAGGATGATTGTTTATGGGGCTTTGTGGTTGAGGTGAGAGTTTTAGGTGATTCTAGTTTTTTGTAATGGTGCCTATCCCTGCATGAGGGTATTCTATGTTTTCAAATGTACTGGGTGTTTTATTTAATGAAATATGAGGTACTCTTTTCTTCATTCCAAAGTTCGTTAACATACTTGTTAGTATGTGGACGAATATGAAGGGAGTTTTTAATGAGACCTCCAATTTTTATCAAAAAAAAAAGAATTGACCCCACAAAATTCGTAAAGAAACCTTCTTTACCCAAAACTATATCTTAAAATTCCAAACACATTCTTCACGTCAATAAGCATGACCACTATAACAATTGCCTCAAGTTCCTTCTTATCACAACAGTTGCTTTCTTGCATACAAGCTATAACTTAGCTTTTCAAACCGGGCTGCGTACAGTTTGGCTATGTGGCCAATATTTTACAAAATTCACTTAAACCATGTGCTTCTAGAAATCAATTACTAACCAATATTCTAGCTATGTGGCCATAGTATAAAACAGAAATTGCATATCCAAATGCTTGAGCTAAAATTTCCAACATGAGTTAAATTTCTGCGGTAGATATTTTTGGTGAAATCAACTATACCCTTAAGATTGATTTATATAATATAAAACTAATAACCAACCAGCTTTCCTAAAAAGATGTCTTCAAACTTTTTTGAACTGCCAAATAGCTGAACCAGCATGGGCATCCCAAGAAATAGGATATGGAGTATATATCAGATACCTAAGATGAACCACAATGAAACCTATTTTAGTATGTCAGTAATCAAGCAAAAGAATGATCTGACTTTTGTGTACAAAAGACAGATTTTATTCCCTGGGGACATATTCCTCCTCATATTGCACAAGTAATACACTAAGGGTGCGTTTGGTTCACGGAATGTAAGATTACCAGTGGGAACAAAAGATTACCAGGGAATAGGATTACTGGGAATGTTGTATTTTGTGTTTGGTTGGTTTAGCAGGAATGTAAGATTACCGTGTTTGGTTAAAGGAATAAAAGATTATTGGAATATATATTTGACTAAATTGTCCTTATTATATATTTGTATAATATTACAAATTGTAAAATATTTATATATTTTCTTTAAAAAATTAAATTCATAATATTTATATAATTTTTTTACAAAATTAAAAATATAAAAAAGGTTTGATGAAAGGATAAATTTTTTTTAACCCCTGAACTTCATATAAAATTTTAATTATAGACTTTTTTTTGTAAATATAAAATAATTTAAGGATAAATTTGTAATTTAACTTTCGTAGAATTTTTATTATTCAATGACAGAAGAAGGATATTTTTGAAAAAAATAAAAATTCAAGGGCATTTTAGTCTAAAATGCCGATAATGTTACAATACCTAAGGGAAGGGAGGTAATGACATTCCCGGTAATATACCCCAAAAAATCTACTATTGGTAATAAAATATTACCGGGAATGAGATTCCCGGCCAACCAAACATGGGAATGTGGGATTCCCATCCACAATCCTTGAACCAAACACCCCCTAAGCCTTTTTTCTTCTCTGTTTTGGTACAAATAAAGCTAACTGTGTAAGATCATTACAAACCAATAAATAACCAAGCAATTCACACAAGTCTAATAATACTAAAATCCAATGCTGCAAAAGGTCAGCAGTTTGAAAACCATTTGCTCACTCAAAATAGTTTTGCCCAACTTTAAAGGGATAATTTTCTGAAGAATAAGAGGAAGTCAACCAGATCCATTTAGGATTGTCACCAGGTAGCTTTCAAGTTTACAATATAGTAAAGCAAAACATGACGGGAATTAGAAACTCACTTAGAACCACTGCATCAGTTCCATATAAAATTTAGGTGCAACATCCTTTCTTCTCTTGTGAAAATAAAAAAAGAGGGACAAATACATAAAATATAGCCACATCACATATTAATCCAGATGAAGACCAGCCGTGAAAGAACAATTTGCCAAAATTCAGTCAACAAGAATACAACAAAGGTTTTAAGGACATACCTTTTCAGGATGATCAAACTTTTGCAGTTCTTTTTCAATTAAATTTGCCATAGATTTTATGTACCCTTCCCGTTGATACCAAGAAGGTATGACTGTATGTTGCATGTTCACTAGATACTCATCGTCACTGAAGAACCAATTGGTTATATTGTCAGAGGAAGAACATTGATTTAAGATTATATTTCAAATTTACATCAAGGAATGCAAGAGAAGTTTCCTCATTCCTCACCGGAATATACTTTCCAAGAGCCGAAGACTTGAACCACTAGTTGATATTGAAAATTGAGGATAAAGTGGAAGTACAACAAGCTTTTCTATTCCATCCTTTTTTATCTACAGTATTGTTAGGAGGAAAGTAAAATAATTATATATAACTAGAATCAATGTCATATAATAGAAGGCAGAGGAAACAAATATTATCTTTAACCCAGATCGATGATGCATTCACAGCCACCAGATAGACATAACGACCAGAAGAAACCCGCAGATTATATAAGTAATACCTGAATGGAACTCTTAAAATACACAATATTATCTGTGAAAAAGTAGACTCGTTTTAGGAATAGAAGAAAACAAGCAGTCAAGTCGGTTAAATATAATTATACAAAAGCAAGCATATAGTAGCAATCCATAAATTTAAAAAACAAACGATAAAGTTTAAAATGTGCACATAGAAATGATAACTTACAGTTGAAGCATTACAATACTTAAACAACACTTTGGTGGTTTCACTTACTTCTGCATCATGAAATATTAAATAAAGATTGAAAATTTTTCACGAAGAATCGAAAATGTAATGTTATATCCTCATCCAATAAATTCAAATGATTTAGAATCGGAGGCTAGAGTTAACTGCTTCAAGAGACATGTAATAACTAAATATAGACCATCCTTCCTCAGACAAACAGGAAAGCAGCACAAGGAAACATGTAGATTAGTCCCTCCATCCTTCAATAACAATTCAAACTTCATATTCATTACTTATCACAAGTGTATCTAATAATTACTTTTCTTTGCTCCATTCACTTTTTGTCTCTCATGGTAGTGGCTGGATCTAGATTTTTGATAAAAATAGGAGGCCTCGTTAAAAACCCCTTCATAACCTTCAAACTACAGAAGTAGATCTAGATAAATGCACATTTCCAAGAACGCATTCTCTCTAAACATTAGAGGGTGGCAATAGATAGAAGAACATCTAAAGCTAGGTTTCTGATATGTAGGATCTAGGAAGAGCATTGGAAATGCCAAAGGATCATGCGATTGCTTATTTAGAAAATGATAAATCAGATTTTGATAGTAAATTACCATCGGAATGAAGTTCTGCCAATTACAAAGTTTCATATATCATTGACATACCCAATGTCAAGCATTTAAGAAAAGCAATACAAAGTCGGTGATAAATAAGGAAAGGCATCCACGTCAATTTCCAAATAGTCACCAAAAAATATATGTAAAAAAAGACTAAAGTTAACAAATACCTGCTCAATTGCTTCTTCAGTGAATGGATGCCAGTAACGCATACCAACATACACTTTAGCAGGGACATTCTTTTCCCAAAGTAACTTTCTCAACTCTTCAGCCTGAAATGCATAGTGACAAGGCAATACAAATCAAGGACTTACATAAGAGATACTAACATGTATGAGATGAAGATTGCTTAAGCTACATATTCCAGTTTTTCTGGCGAAGGAGCCATCCAAACCATCAGCCAAAACAAGGTCAAATACATATCTGCTCTATGAAGGCAGAAATTTTAAAAGCCAACAACAAACAAATAAATCAATTTCAGTAATCTGGAACCATCGTTTTTTCCATTTACACATAAAACGATACATTTAAAACAATAATAATCGGTCGACACAATGAACAAAGCTATAAAAGTTGAAACTAGAAGAATTACTCTCTAGGTTGATAGTTGCCATTAGCAGTTCCAACATTTAAATAATTTCATTTTAATATTTCGAACACTATTTGAGTCAAGGTTGCAACATAAAGGATACATGTCTCTGACAGACCCTTAATGAGGGGGAAAAGGAATAAAACATTGCCATTAAAAGTAAACTCAGATGACAGCATAAAAGATTTAACGAAAAGTGAATGTTTACAGCATATGTTTGTGCATGGCAACATACTCGGTCACCAGAAAATTATTTCAGAATAGTTCAGGTGCAATTTATCTTTTTCTCTTCCACATTACTTAATGAAAGCATCATAGTAAACTCAAAATGGTAGTTCTATAACATATAAATGTGTCCATAAGAAATTCTAATGATAACAAAAACAATCATGCCTGAGCATCAGTTATTCGTCGAAGAGGAGAACCGCCACCAATTGAAGCATATCCTTCCTTGCTCTTAGGTGCTCTAAGAACAGATATAAACTTTGCCAAGGGCCTTTGCAAAAAACGAAACAACCTTGGTAGCCGTATAATATCCTGTCCAATTAGGTAATTAACACTAGAAAGGAGAATGGAACGAAAAAATTTGTCAAACTAACTTGATAGAGGGAAAAGAAATTACCAAATTCATTTAACGGGGGGTTTTTGGATTCTTATTTGGTCAACCCGAAACATATAACTATACATGGAAATAGATAAGGAGGGTTTATCTTCTTGTAAATAGAGGTTACAATGTCACAATATTAATCTCTTCCGCTACTTATTTTAAGGCTTAATACACTTTTAGGTGCCTAAACTATACCTCAAATTGAATTTTGTGCCTAAAGAATTTTTCGTTAAAAATATGTATCTAATATTTTCTTTGTTATACTTTTGGTGCCTACCGTTAAAAAAAAGGATTAAGTGACACATGTCACACCCAGGTTTTTAAAAAAATTATTTTTGAATAATATTTTATTAAAAAAAAATCTAACGTGACAGATGTCACTTAACGATTTTTGTAACGGTAGGCACCTAAAAATGTAACGGAGAAAACATTATCCACCTATTTGTAACGAAAAAAATTTTAGACGCCAAAAGTCAATTTGAGGTATAATTTAGGAACCTAAAAGTGTATTAAGCCTTATTTTAATAAGAATCTAGGGCTCTTCAAGTTCTTGTAAGAAGTGATACTGTACTAGATTCACCACAGCGTTAATGACAATCTAACTAACATTTTTTTTTTATCATGGTGAACTTAGTACACGGAAGCAAGTAAACCTGAAACAAAGGATCTACACTTTCAACATGATACCCAAAATTTTCAGTGTTGTTATGCAGCCATTTCAGATTTTTCGTGGCCTTATATTAATGTTGGATATCTCCACAGTTGCCAATTGATTTTGGGGTTTTCTTATACAATTATGTTATTTTCTTTTCACATGATAAACTCAATTGTATTGTTATCATGTTGAAGAGAGGTCATAATAATTACTAAAGAAGCTAAAGAATAAGAAACGGGAGCGAAGAATGAAACAAACCGGGTCGGAGAAAAGGTTAAACAAGAAGGGCTGCACATCGTCAAGGGTCTCGGGACCTCCAAGGTTCAGCAACAAGACTCCAATCTTTTCCTCGCCAATAAGAGGCCCAGGGGAGACAGCTTGAGTGTTTGAAGTCTCCAAAGCTCCAACGCCCGCGTGAAACAAATGTTTCTTATTGGTAATGATATTAGACTGTTTAGAAAATGAGAACTGAGTCGTCTCGGGCACTAGGCAATTTCCGGACACCCTTTGAGAGACAGAGAGAGCTCGAGGCGACAATCTGAGAAAATCCAGAGTATCAAAGGAAAAACAAGGGTAAGCGTAAAGTAAAAACGAAGAAAAGGGAAGCAAACGTAAGTGGATAAAAGAACATACAGACGAGGGAACTTGCAATGGCGAGAAGCAGAGGTGAGGCATGAAGGATGAGGGAATGTGGAAGAAGATGATGCTGAACAGGAAGCAGAGCTCTGAATTCTTCCTCTTCTCATTGCGTTGTATTAAGTCTTTAATTACACGAAGAAATGGAATCCCAAATCCCTAAAGAAAAGCAATCAAAGAGTAAGTGAGCCCTAAACAAAAGCAATCAAAGAGTAAGTGAGGAACCAGAGATGAAAGGTGCAAAGCAGGCCAATCACTTGCTTTTTAGTTTCTTGGACAGATAATGATTAAGCGTTGTCCTCTATTTTTAGTCCTAAGGGAAGGAGTGGGTGGGAGTTGGGAGAGGGACACTTGAGAACTGAATGACACAACCAGTCTTTATAATCTTCTTCTATCGTTCTCGTCCTCATCCGTCCATTTTATTCATTGCCTACCATTCTCCCCATTTTTTTATTTTTTCTCAATTAAAAAATCCACTCTCAATGATAACGATTGAATTAAGGTTTAATAATTAATTTTAGCTTAATGAAAAAATAAACATTGAAATTTTTATTTTTGAATTTAATAAAAATTTAAATTATCTTTTATTAATTTTAGATATCTAATATATTTTTTTATTTTTTTAAACCGAAATGCCAACTATTATTATTAAATTTTCATATTAGGAAAACAATTCATTTGATACAGGGAACAACAAATGAAACAACAGTAAAAGAACCTGGTCCTAGAGTGAACCTCACGCCTAAAACTTAAATGGGACAGCTGTAAAACATCAAAAAAATTATCCTAAAAATGATTAAAAGACTTTTTTTACTAGGAAATATCAGCTCTAATATATTAAAACCACAAAACAAAACCATAAATGTGTCAAGTGCATCGCACCAGAAAGAATTCCAAGACTAAACAATGAATAAAAAATGTATAATAAACGCTGACCTTTCAACTCCTTGCACACTCAGGTGAAACCAATGTTCGTTCCAAGCAAGGATGCAAAAACAAAGACATAGACCCTATAGAGCATTTTCCTTCGAGAAGCATCTAAGGAGGATCCAAGCAGCGCCAGTCAGCTGCCAACTGTTCTTCAACTCTTTGAGACGCCTCCTCGATTCAGTATCGGTCATCTTCACCAGAGTCGCCATCCGTTGCCAGGAAGTGGGCCACCTGATTTCCTCCTCGATGAACGTATTTGAAGCGGCACATATAAAACACCTCTGCTCTCTGTTGAGTCTCGCATGTAAAACCCTAGACCAGTACGACACACAGTCAACCGATGTAAGATGTCACACGAAATAATCGAAATAATAACCAATTTATTCTTACTTTCTTGTACTTTAGAACGACTCTTTATATATGAGAGCACTCAATATATATATAAACCTACATATTAACTCTTAACTGACTTTACAACTCAATATAGCTGAATTTATGAATATACATGCACTTTAAGAAACTAGATGACGTACTCCGCTCTGCACTGGATCTGGACCTCAATCACTCTAAAGCTTCTCAATTGTTGGATCTACCAACCTGTCCACTGAAACATCCACACTAATAACTAAAACATACTAAAAATTTATCACTGAAATGCTCAAGCTATCAAGTCTACTGTTATAAGGTCTACTGGTCTATTTTGTTCTACTTTAGTGAGTATACCTATATACTCACTCTCTACTCTATGGTAGACATCATGGTGCGGTTGAGGATTCTGTATCTCTGGAGCTCACACTCCGCTCTAGTCTACTCTGGTTACGGCCCCCAAAATTTTCTGCATCAGAAATCATACCCCTAATTAACCCACCCTTTCTTCTAAAGAGTGTTAAGGCCTTGACAAACATAGTTACTCAGAAGGGCCTCGTGCCCTACCTAAAGATATATCCGGACTACTTTATTCTAAAGGAAC